GTTCAATAGATTTTCACTGATCAGAATAATTCAGTTAACCAAGGCACCTGATCCAACTACTACACTAAATCTTCCAGACTCTGCATTTCCATTACCTCAAGGCCGGTCTCATGACCTTTCTCTTTGACCGTGCCTTCATCTCCCCTCTCGATTCTCTACTCCCTCCTCGCTCCCTCCCTTCTCTCCCCTCACCCTGACCATTTCCCCCCTGCTCGGGTCCTGACCCAACTGTCCACCGCCTTGGGACGTCCTCCCGACGTGAAAGGCACTCTATAAATGGAATCTTGTTGTTGTACCTGCCACACAAGGAAGCTTTTTCTTTTACAGAGGATAGTTAGTGATTGTGACAGGTTACTAGGAAAGCTGTTTGAGGTGAACACTTTGGACTCATTTAAGAAACAGCTTGATGCTGAAATAGGAGGATGGTATAGTGGGTATTCTGGAAAGATGAGATTAAAATGGCCAAATGATCGTCTTTGTCTGAAAGTCTTGTGATCTTGTGGTCTCATTTGGAATTGGATTTACCAGTTGATAATTGATCAAGTACATAAGGAAAGTAACAATAGCCTGAATTGAGTTTTCCAATGTAATTTGGGGAAACCTGCAATCCTGCTGTGATAATGAACATAAGAATATAAGAACATAAGAATGTGTTAGGTGAAAGAAGACCAAGGTCCATCCAGCTCGCCTTCCACCATCCTGGCAGTCACATGGACTCGTCATCTCCCAAACTATGATGGACAGGTGTAATTCCATCTCCAGGCAAGTGTAGTCATAGCAGACATACAGCCAAAGAAGATACGAGATTCAAAGCTATGAGTCTGCCACATATGAGGTCCAAAAATTAGTGAAAATAGTTATTAATTATTTTCACAGCTGCTCAGTATTAATACTTTTGGACAGAGGAAACCTCAGAGCTGAAAAACACCACACATCTATCAACATCAGGGCATGCCAACTTATCTGCAAGAAATGGCTACAAGATCTTCTTCAGCTACAGTGACTTGAGGAGCTGAGGAGCTTATCTACTTAAAAGACTAGATGTGAATTTACCCATATTCTCGCACATTATTCCACTGGAACAAAAAACAGAACCAGGGGCTGATTGTCAAAACACTCCTGAAAAGATAAAAGACAAATCATGACAAGCTAATACAAAGCAAAGGTTTATAAAATATTTTGAAGTTTTAAAACTTTTTTCCGTCCCAATGAAGAATTGTCAGTCAGGGCCTCCTTTCTCTGCAGGGAATCACTTACCTTAATTCCAACTGCAGGAACATCAGTCAGTAACAGCAGGGAATTCCATAGATTGGCATCCTTTCTGGGTTTCCTGAACAAGAACCAGTACAAGATAAAAATGCAATACCAGCCAAGAGCTGCTGTATACTCAACTTATTGTGTCTGGTAATGAAGCCTTTTGATTAGTATCCACAACAGATGCCAACTGATAGAACGCCCTGTGGAGTCATTCATTGACATGTGGTTCACATTAAGTAAACATCCAAAGTAATTGATCTCTATCGGCTAATGGACACTTGTTAATCACATATGTTGTTGCCTTTTGTTTCCATATCCATTATCTTAATTTTTTCCCACAGCAATCATTCCTGTCATTTCTTTGGCCTGTCAGCATTTCTGTGAACACAATACAAAATTACATTTGTTTAGCACCTTTCACGTCGGGAGGATGTCCCAAGGCACTGGACAGTCAGGGATTTGGACCTGAGCATTGGGGGAGGGGTTGGATCAGGGAGGGTGGAGGGCAGAGAGGGCAGGAGGATGGTCAAAGGCGTAGTTGAAGAGTATGGTCTTGAGACATGCCTTGAAGGAATGGACAGATTGATATGGGGTGAGGAGGTCACAGAGATAGGAAGGAGCAAGGCTATAGGAGGGCCTTGAAGGCGAGGATGATGATTTTGAACTCTATCCTGTGGGTAATGGGGAGCCAGTGGAGTTGGCCAAGGGTGAGGGTGATAGGGTCAAATGGTTCACACAAAAAAAATGTGAGAGGGTAACCTACGGTGGTGAAACAGCTATTTATGGGCTGAAATTCCATTTGCTACATGAATTTCCCCATTATAATCCCACATCACCAAAGGTACTATGCATACTGACACTAGAATACCACCACACTGGAGGGCTGATCAGTCAATACAACGATTAAAGAAAGAGGAGGGTATCAACAATCTGTATTGATTATCAAAAGGGAAGTCATGCACAAGCAGAAGATTAACACCGGTGCCATTAGGTCAATCCTGCAACATTTTTCAGGGTTGATGTTGGAAATGATGAGTACTGGACAACATAGTTGAACAGCAGCCCAATGAGTTGGGTGTCCAGTGAGAGCAGTAATACCATGAACTCCATAGAACGCATACCTTATCCAAGCACAATTTTAATCCGAAACAAAATGCTAATGTAAGAAGCCACTTCCCAATTATGTAGTATTTCTGATCCAAACATAACAATTAAATGCAAAAATCCAGATCCAAGGATGAATTATCCAAAATATCCAGTTATTAGGACTCAGCACATTAAACACAGTAACCCATTGTTAATTTTTACCCACAGTCGTCTAGAAATGTTCTGTTAAACAACTTGTTTGGAAGCATTTCCTATTGCATGTTAGACTGAATTGCAAAACTAGTGAATCAGATGAGTTGTGGCATAAAGATTTACAGCAGGCTATTTATATCTACAGTTCATAGAAATTCTGATCCAAGCAATATCGTGATTCAAGCATGACATTTCTTGGTGAAATAGTCATACAGCATTATTTCACTGTATAATTCAACACAGTCAGGTCCTACAGACCTACCAAAATGGATAAACATTTCAGAATGATAGCAAATTCATTGTTCCTTAAATACCATGAAAAGAGCTGGAGCTGGTGAAGACTTTGTTCTGCTCATCCAGACTTTCAACAGCAGGTTTCCTCGCTAATTTTCTAACTGTTTAGTCTATTGACTTACACGCCACAACAATCTATTTTGCAAGACTGCATTTATGTTCAAATAGGCACATCAAACTATCATTTTCATTTGAAATTAAAGAATGATAATTACACAGTTTACCAGTACACAATAGTGGAAAGTTTCATGTTCACCTGTTCAGCTGATACTTCACCACAGATTAGAGCTTTCACTTACAGGATTGAGAATCTCCAACTCATGGATGACACAGACAAGATAGTCAATTAATAATGCCCTGGGCAGAATATTCTAAAAATGGGTGGCAATGCCCATCAGCAATCTCATTCATACATTCCTAAATATAAAATATGCAACAGAACAGTGTGTCAGTCTGTCTCAGTTGGTCACACACTGACCTCTGAGTCAGAAGGTTGCGGGTTCAAGCCCCACATCGGGATTTGGACTCATACAGTCTAAAAAGCTGACACTCCAATGCAGGGCTTGGGGAGTCTTGTATTGTCAGAAGCGCCGTCCTTCAAATGAGAAGTTAAACTGAGGTCCCGCCTGGCTGTTCAGGTGGACACTAAAGATCCCATGGCACTACTCAAAAAGAGAACGGAATTTCTCCCGGTGTCCTGGCCAATAATTCACCCCCCAAATAAAAATTATGGATTTGTTTCTTGGCTATTTGTGGGACTTTGCTTTGCACAATTGGGCTGCCACATTTGCCTTGCAATCATTTCACTTTACTGTGAAGCGCTTTGGGATGTCCTACTAATGTAAAAGGCACTATGTCTAATCCAAAGAACATTATTATCATTATTGTTAGACTACCACAAATATTCTACTGAGGATCAGCCTAAATAAGCTCCTGGCTATACCTGCTCCAGTTTATATAGTCTTTAAGTGTTCCATACTCTTATGTTTCTAGCTCCTTTCCGCAGCTTGCACCTGCAGCAAATAGTAAAACACTGACACCTAGTGGCAGTGTTCACAGAGGTTTACTGTATTTGGGAGCATAATAAAAGAACGGCACAATTTTTCAAATTTTATGATCGAGCACTAATTCATTTTTGAAAGACCAACTTTCCTCCTACCCCCAACACACATGGTTTGAGCACTCGCCTCACATGCGAGAGGATCTGGGTTCGATTCCCAGGCAGGGCGATAGGCAAGTTTACTTACTCCACAAGTCACTGTTTACCTAGAAGAAACTCTTACCCACGCATTCGTCACATCAAGACTCGATTACGGGAACTCCCTCCTCATCGGCCTTCCCAACTCTTCCCCTCACAAGCTGCAAATCATCCAAAACTCTGCAGCTCATGTACTCTCACGCACCAGGCTCCGTGACCCCATCACTCCCACCCTCACCCGACTCCACTGGCTCCCCAACCCCTAGAGGATCGAGATCAGGATCCTCGTCCTCACCTTTAAGGCCATCCATGGCCTTGCCCCCTCCTACCTCTCTGACCTGCTGACTTCCTACCAACCTGCAATAATCCCTTCAAAACTTTTTGTTGAGTAATAATAATTCCGTCACTTGATCCAAAACTGTTTGTGGACACTGCTGTGTGCATTTCGACCACAAAATACACAGTCAATTCACTTTACAGTATATACTGTGAAGCGCTTTGAAACGTCTCAAAGACGTGATAAGGCGCTGTATCAAATGCAAGGATTATTATTATTATTAATGACTGTTTAACTGCCGCAGATAGACTGACTAGTTTAGCCCCTCACTTCTCAATTTCTGCTGAAAGGACGGAAAATGGATTGTTTAGCTTGCAGATGAGGAATTAGAAAATTAACATAAATATTTGGAATAGTTCCAAATTGAAGAACAAAACCAGACAACTATTTATTACAACGTAAATACATGATTTTTTCTGTGTTTGTTCTCCAAAAACACCATAAACTCTATTCATTGCTGTGACACTGTGTATCACAATATTAAATTGCTGGTTTAGGCCAGAATTTCAGGATATAAAACTGTTCCAAAGGGAGTTTCAACTCATACCATTATTTTAAGGTCCCGACAAATAGGTTTATTTTAGTAAAAATAAAGATTGAAGCATATTATGCAAGTTTACCATTTAACCCTTTTTTATTGGTTTTAAATACAGATATTACCTACAGAATTGTTATTCTCAATGTAACACCACAGCTTATCAAGTTAACAGAGTTCAGCAGTTATAACCAGGCTATCCATTGTATACAACATCACAGACAAATTCAGTAACATGATCAAGAGCTGTTAGAAAAGAGACATGAATAGCATCTATGTGCGCTCAGGTGAATGGATATCAATTAATCCACAACCCAAAGAGTTCACAACGACACTACACAACTTTCAAGTAACATTTCAACTCTTATAAATTACTGTAACCCAGTAAGAAGTGAGAACAAAACTAAAGTGGGCTGCAATATGGATTGGAGTGAAATGGGTTCAAGATTTCGAGAGATTACAGAGAATGAATTGCACAGCAGATATACGTTGAATACTACAAAATGGATTTCGCTGAAGTTAACATTTATTTAAACTGTCACTTTATATCAATGAATTAGTAGTTACCTCAACATTCTTTACTGATGCTTGGTAATTGTCCTATCAATTCGAATATATAATACTCGAAGGACATCTTCAGTTAGACTCCTATTAAGCTAGCACTGATAAAATCTAGGATAGTCGCTTTTTAAGGTACAAGAAAGCAAAGTACCCTATTCCGCCCAGCAGACCTACCATAAAAGTAGCCCCTAAAAAGGAGGGAGCTCTTTTCTTAGCTACTCGAAAAGCAGTAGGTAACACTGCAGAGAGTAAAATGTTGTTCACATTTCCCAAAACTCTTCGGAATGTCTTTCTCTGTAACACGCGCTCGTAGTACGATTCTAAATTTGGCCGTCTTCCATTTCCCCAGTATCTTCTGGCAAGTCCAAGGAACTTTAGCCGATGCACTGTTACAGCAAGAGACACGTCTGCAAGACTAAAGAACTCACCGCAGAGCCATGGCTGATGTCCTTCCTCTGCTCAAGAAACAAAGGGAAGCTTAGCATCAACAAGTCATCATCATCAATACTGCCATAGGAATCTATCAATATATTTCAAATTCAATTACAAGCTTCCATAACCATTCAGGCTTAAGCTACAGGAGTTCCGTTGCACAAAGTGTAATAATAATATTAATTCTTGCAGTTGATCTAGCACCTTATCATTTTTTTGAGATGTATCAAAGCGCTTCACAGAATATACTGTAAAGTGAATTGACTGTATAGTCTGTGGGCGAAACGTATACATTTAACTTCAAGCTACACAGAATTGCTATTTACGTCCAATTGGGCATCTACACGTTTCTCCTGCCACTGTGGAAATAGTACAAAAGTATGAGGGAAATTGTTACGCAACACAACAAAGATGTTTTAAATTGTAACCATCCTCATGGACACTATTGAGGTGTTACAGGATGCACGATGTAGATATTCAACATCACACTGGTGCAGTACATTGGTCATCCAACTCAGCGTTTCATACACTGCTTGGGTGCAGATTCACTTGTCAATCTCCAAGAGGGGAATTTCTGATCTCAGGCATTTCATCCAGAAGAGGCTTCTCCCCACAAGACAAAATGAAAAGTTAAAATCAGGTCTTCCTCAGTCTGTTCTTGTGCCAATAGATAGTTTAAGGCCACAATATGCCCATCAGTGCCTGCTGGACAACTCCATTCAAGAATAATGAACTCTGTAGAATAAACTGAAAAAAAATAAACTGGAAAAGTACTGAAACTAAAAACCAGTTCAACAAGTAACCTCATTTAACACACAAATGTCAGATACCTGGAGTTTCCTCGATTCTCCTCTGCAGCTCTGTCTCCACTTGGTCAAGAACATTTTCCAGCTCAGTGAGGATTTTTTTCAAGTATTTTACATTATCGTGATCCCTTATCTTGGACTGGTAGCAAACAAAAATCAATTAGAAGGAAAATTCACAAGAGATTCACAGATTAAAAAAACACCTCCAGTATTTGCTAACACCTTTGCAGAATACCCACAGGTCTCCTAATTACAAGCTCAAGATGTTCCTTAAATGAGTCTAGTTTGCTGGCTCTACCATCCTTCCTGATAACCAATCATAGCTGTTAATTACTATGTAAAAAGTAATACTTTCTGTAGTCTGTTGTAAAATTGCACCTGTAAACCTGTGCATTCTTGTCCTCAAAGAGTTAATCAATGGACCATTTTGTGGTGAGAGTCTGTTTAACATCTCCATTAGTATGTTCAAAATGAGCAGTTCTAATCTTCAATCCTGCCTTTAATTTGAAAACCTATTCCCTTTAATTCTGCCATCATGATTAATTGCATCCGCATCATCCATGACACATCATTTTAAATCATGCCGCTCTCATTCTTTCTGCTGTCAGCTCTTTGAACCCAACTTCATTCTCCCAGGATCATCCTTATTGCTCTCTTTTGTGATCTTGCTTCAAAATTAAGCTGGTCCAGGTTACAAAGGGATGCCTGAAACTGGACATTGTACAGCATGATTTTGTTAGGGATAAGGATAGCTTTGAATGTATAAGTGAAAATAATGTTTATATATTTTGCTAAGCTTTTTAATTGTTAGTGATATTTTATGGAGGGGTATGGGTTAGGATTGTATTGATTTGTACTTTTTGTACAATCAAGTCAAGTCAAAACCTCCACAAAGACAAAATAATTATTGATTTACAGAATATTCTTGCCCTAAACAGAGAGCGTAACATTCATTTCACAAAGCACTTACTTTAATTTGTTTTTGTTTTGTCAAATATGCTTCCCGCAATTCCGGGTGCTCCTCAGCAAGCTTCTTCAATTCAGATTCAGTGTTTTCAATCTGACCTGATAACAATGAAAGTACTCAGCAGGTTTCAATATCGCATACAGGTGGGAAGGCGTGATTTCAATTTGAATTGAAAAGTTGGAGTTTGACTTCTAAGTTCACCTTCAATGACTATACTTACTGCAGCCTATTCAAGACACTAAATCAAATATCTGAATCAGTGTTTAGATCTGGCCACACAGTGCCCATATCATTATTGATCAGAACTTGGCAAATTCATTTAAAAAAATCCCACTGATTGCAAAATTAATGATTAATGGGCCAAACTGATCAATCCGCATTTAGAAACCATCTCACACTGGATGACTGATGTTACTTAGATAGAAGCTCATGCTCTTTGGCAGAATTCAAATTTGCAGCCTTCTGGAGCAGAACGATTAAACTGAGTGTTTAAGAACATTTTAAAGCTTAAGAAAAATGATTACTGAAAGATAATAAATTGCCAGTTACTTTATCCTACAATTTTATTTAATTTCTATTGGGCAAATGGATTTAGGTATTAATAATCCTGACGGTTGATATAACGACTTTCAAGTTGGAGGACTTCTCAAAGCAAAATTTGTGGAGTCCTGTAGCTCAGTGGTTAGAGCACTCGCTTTGCAAGCGAGAGACCTGAGTTCAATTCCAGGCAGAGGGCGAAACCTTGGGCAAGTTTCCTTACTCCACACAGAGCCTAATAATAATCCCTCCAAAACCCAAAACAATAATAAATTGGTCATCTTCAATCTACGACTGTTTGTGGGACATTGCTGTGCGCAATTGGCTGCCGCGTTCGCCCACAAATATAGTCAATTCACTTTACAGTGTGTTCTGTGAAGCGCTTTGGGACGTCCTCCCGACGTGAAAAGCGCTATATCAAATGCAAGGATTATTATTATTATTATTATTATTAAAATTTCAAAAATTGACTCAGAATTTTAATTCTTTCATACAATTAAAAGAAACTATTGTAAGGGGATTTTTTTAATGAAAGCTAATAAACACAGTGTGAGTCCTTGAAAAACATGCTTGTGCTATATAATTGCTGGTCAATTGGACACTGCAATATAAATGTAAACAGCGCCACCTGGTAGATAAATCACACAACAGCATCCCAGATTATCCTTTAATGGAAGGACCAATGCACTTGAATGAACATTTCAGCAAACTCACCCATTCTCACAATATTTATAATTTGCCAAATCCCTTGAAAACATTTTTTATGTTGAATAAAATTCAAGAAATATGAAAATGTATTTATCAGTGATCATCTTACATAGAAATGAGCTGGACCACAAAATACTTGACACGATTTATGTCCCTCAATCCCTTCGCCTCGCACCCTCTTTCCCCATCTTCAAGACTTTCCTCTTCGACCGTGTCTAAGGTCACCTTCCCTCTCCCCCTGGCTCAGCCTCAGGCTCCGCCATTGTTAAGTGCTCTGAGATGCCGCCCAGCATGGTGGGCACTATATAAATGCAAGTTAGTGTTGCTGTTATTGGTATGTCAGTTTTACTGTATTAATTGGTCCATTGCAATAAAAATTCAATACTTGTCAAACTCCATTTGACAGAATGGTGTGAGCCAGTCAGGGTCATAAAACTAGAGAATAGATGCTCAAGCATAAAACAGAAAGATATCTAACTGGTTATTGTTACTGTGCACTTACTGCGAATTCTAGTGGTTGCATATGCAGGTATCAAGGAGCCCATGGTTAATTCTGGATGAAGAATGCATCCATGGGTATAAGCATCCATAGGGAGCGAGTCCAGGAGTTCTCGATAATGCTGCACACGTGGGTAATACAGGCTTCCTTCGTCTGGAATCAGTTTGGGGATGTTTGCTGAAAGAAGTCATATAACATATGGCATTTTTATTAGAGTATACAAGAGCAGAGGAAAATAAAAAGGACAATTTTGTAAGAAAATTGATTTTTAATGAATACCTGTGAAACGAAAGGCCGGCGAGTTTTATTTTACACTTAACTGCAACCTAAAATTAAAGGTTTTTAGTTTTTGCAAACTTTTATTTGATTTATCTTTAAAAATTAGTGATACAGTAAAACGGATACAACACATACAGTGGGGACCACAACATTTAATATGATTTACGCAAAGTCTGAGTTTCACGCAAACTGTATAAATCGTATAAAATCCGATTTCATCAATAGTCTACACTGTTCAATTCAATTCAATGCAGCTAATAAGTGTGCATGCGAGACCTTGTCACTGTAGCTGGTTTGTGCATGGGTGACGGGTCAAAAATACATTTCCTGCGATTCAATGCCTCGTGACCAGTCGCCGCACGAGCACTTACTGGCAAGCATCAGAATCACATTGAATCGAAGGAAATAAAATTCTTCTACGCATGTGGCGATGGATCAAGACTTGATTCAATGCAGCTGGCTGGTAAGTTTGCATCCGTTCACGGGTCAGGACATTATTTACTGCGATTCCATGTAACTGGTAAGTGTGGGAGTAAAGGAGGCTAGGGGAGCAGCGTTACGAGTTAAGAGATGATAAATAAGAGTAGACCAAAGAAATCTAAGTGGTTCGATAGGAAATTGAATGGGACTTGGGCTTATGCACAACATAGCCCGTTATACGATTTATAAAGATACGACTTATGCAAGTTTTACTGTATCAATTTGTTTGGAAATACAGACCCTGAATGCACATATTACCCCAAATAATTTTTAGAATTTCATGAGCATACCTCACAACGCTTGCACCTTAGAAACTCAACATGCTACTTCAAAATCACTAGCATTTGATCCAACAAAGGAATAACTGTGAAAAAAGGCAAAAGAAATATTCAAAAAAGTACTGAAAAACTAACAAATGGAAGGTTAATAAATGAATTACGCTCAATAACATGAACGTGAAAACAACATTAACTTAAAACCCCAAATGAAAAATGAAGGTAACAGATTAAACATCAAACAAAATTCTTATGTGCCTACAGCATATTCAAGTATACTTTCTATGTGAACTTTATTTGAGAATCACAAAGAACAAATAGTGGTAATAATACTAATTTATGTGTGTTAAATTAACAATAACTCTTGGATTTGATATAGTGCCTGCCTTTCACATCAAGAGGACATTTCAAAGCACTTTACAGGATTCACTGTAACGTGTGGGGACTGTGTATTTTGTAGGCGAACGGGGCATACAAGTTGTGCACAGCAATATCCCAAAAAAAGCCAAAGTTTGATGATGAGCAAAATGTCAAAGTGGACCGCATTTATAATGAACTGAATGTATCCTGCACCTGCACATTAGGATGAAATGTGAAGAGTTCACCTAAAAAAACAGGCAGAAAATTATATATGCAGACTAGTTCCACAGCTGAAAAGGATGGCTTCTTTTCGACTATACAAACAGGGGTGACTAATTGTTTTGTTTTGTGTTTTTTGTTATGCTTTCAGTCTCTCACTTGGAAGTATGAAATCACAATGTATGTTAATTACTTACCAGGCAAGGAGCTTTTTTGAGGTTACAAGAAAGAAAACAAGCTTGAAATTTGAAATAAAAAACAAAGAGAACACAGAAAAATCCATGAAAAGTAAATTAAGACATCTTTGTTTTAAAAAGCATGAGATGTTCGAAAATATTTTGAAAAATAGCTATGAAAGTTGATACAATGTGTTCTCTGTCGTTTGCTTTACTATAATGTCTGTCAGTCTATGCTGGAATGTCATCTTTTAAAATACTTGGTGGTGTGTGAGTTCAAGCATTTCCAGCCAAATAAAGGTTTATTGTTTGCTTGAGTTACAATTTGTGTGTGAAGTCAGAAAGCTGATTGTTTAGACAATTATCCTGGACAAAACAGGATGCTCTGCACCTACTGGCAGCCTGTTGGGAGAGACATAGCGCTCCTAAAATAAGACCCCAAAAGCAACCATTACCATCAACAAAGGTTTTTTCCAGATAGTCAATGATCTGGGTGGATTCACAGATAATCTTGTCTGTATGACTCAACACAGGCACCTCTCCTGTTGGGTTCAAATGCATAAACCAAGGTTCGTTGTGTTCACTTAAAGGAAGATTGACATCATACTCTTCGCATTTTAGACCCTTTTCCGCAATAACCAAACGAACCTGAAACAAAGCAGCATAAAGGCAAAGAGAGCGAAGAAATTATTAGCAATAGTATCTTATGTTTAACAAGTTTCAGTAATTTAGTTATTACGCACTGGGTAACCCACTCCACAAATTTAACCTGCTCATCAAAATTTCAGCAGATCTGTGGCTTCTGAATCCATTTTGACTCATTTTCAAAGCTTTCGCACTTTTAAAATAAAGGCAAAGTAATTCTGCAAAACATTTGACCAATCTCCTGAATACGGCTAAATTATCCAGGTATCAATATTATCCATTTTTCACAAACCAACATCCCAACTCCTGTAAGGTCTTATCCTCTATACAATCCCCAAATTATTTCTCACAAGAGTTTGGCTTTGTGCTACAAATCTACATCCAAAGAAAACTAACAATGTGGGGGGTAAACGCCACAGAGTAAACACAGCTATATGTTTTTGTATTTATTTATCCATTTATTTTTCAGTCATTCCCTTCACAGCGCCAGAACATTTATTGCATTAATGCTGAGGGAACTGAGGGGGGTCTCCACCTCCAAAGCCATTCAAGTGAGATGTTAAACCAAAGTCCAGTTCCCCCTGTTCTGGTGGTTCAGATGGATGTTAAAGGCACCCTTTTTTGGCATTATTTCAAAGAGCAATGGGAGTAACTCTTGATTATCCAAGCCAGTATTCCTCCACGGTCCAAATTTATTAAATTATTAATTGGTTACTATCCTTTTCTATCTATTATTTTCTATTATTCTATTCCGTCAACCTACCTGGCACAGATTATTTTATATGATTGCCACGGTTCAAAGAAATTCACCGGGCGGAGCTCTTTGAGACATCTGTCATGTTAAGACACCTCCTGTGCAGATAATTTCTGTGATTCTATGACAAGGGCTAACAGGCATGACAAATTAATCTTTCCAACAGGAACTTTTGTACCGCTCATTATTAATAACTGAACTTTATTTCAAGCCCATGACAAATTAGATGTCCCAAATCAGCATCTTTGTCTCTACAGAAGTACAAGAAATCCACAGTGGTATCCGAAAAGAGAATAACAGTTTAAGGTTTTGGGTGTGACCTTTCACTCAGTCAGTCAGTCAGTCCTCTATAAAGTATTTTACTCTCTGATGATTTCCAAGCATTTTCTGTTTTCAGAATTGCATCATTCCCTGTTTTTCTTATTATTTCTGTTTGTCTATGTTTTATTCAGGAAAGAAGGCCATTTCCTCCAGTAACACGAGGCTGTACAGTAATCGAATCCAGTGTTTGAAAACACTGAATAAATAGGAACCACGTCTTGTTATCTGTTAGGTCCTCAAAACAGTGTACATCACTGTAAATGTGAAATACTGCATTAACCAGAACAACATCGATCACATCTCATCTCACTGTCAGTTACCCTTCTGCTTTGTTCTGTGCTGTCCAACACAGAGGACCTCTCCCTTGTTGGCAACTCACCTTCTGTGAGCAGAACGATTGTGACCAGTGATAAAGAACCATCTTATTGTGAGTCTGGGGTATCTTTGCAGCCTGCAGGGATTTGTCATCTTGCTCAGGACTGAGCAATTCCGTGGTGTCTGTGGATTTTCCATCGCTGTCAGGGTTCCCATTAGCAGTCGCCATCCTAACGCAATCTGCTCCTTCTCTGCCACTGTGGGGTGGGGTGAGCCTGAGCCCAAGTGACTTCTGGATATTGTAGTTCAGCGTCAATTACAAAGCACTTTCTGTATTTTCATCTCAGATCTGAAAGAGACTGCAATCCCCACAGTGCAAAAAAGCAATGCCGGTGTCTGAGCTCCTGTGATCAGCTGTTGGTAACAGTAGACTTGCAATAGGTGGGAACTGCTTTGATTGTAACCAGGTTAAGTTTCACTGATGTTGAGTGAGACTCACTCACTATAATAATAATAATCCTTGCATTTGATATAGCGCTTTTCACGTCGGGAGGACGTCCCAAAGCGCTTCACAGAACACACTGTAAAGTGAACTGACTGTATATTTGTGGGCGAACGCGGCAGCCAATTGCGCACAGCAATGTCCCACAAACAGTCGTGGATTGAAAATGACCAATTTATTATTGTTTTTGGTTTTGGAGGGATTATTATTAGGCTCTGTGTGGAGTAAGGAAACTTGCCCAAGGTTTCGCCCTCTGCCTGGAATTGAACTCAGGTCTCTCGCTTGCAAAGCGAGTGCTCTAACCACTGAGCTACAGGACTCCACTAATTGTGGATGTCCTTGCAATCTCAAGGAAAATGATGCAAGACCCACTTATCTTCCCCTAAATTCCTAAATAATGCACCAATTTCTGCACTTCTTTTCTCGCCCTAAAGCTATTCTTTTGCTTAATGTTTCGGTTGGTTGGGGAGAGAAAGAGAGAGAGAGAGACTGAGAACAGTGAGAGTAACTGGAACAGTGATTTCCAGCTGAAAAGCATATGTAAAATTGCAATTGTACCTTTGCCAGGATTTGAAGACAGCATTTGGTTTGGTGGGGGGGGGGGGGGGGTTGGTTCGGTGTTTAAAATCACGTTTTCCAAATGGGATGGATGACTGTTCCATTTAAAGAGAACAATGTCATTTTTTTTAAAAAAAGGTTTCTCTAAATGGCTGAATGGACTAAACCATTCAATTGATATGCTGACAACTGGCCTCAGTGGTGTGATGTAATTCTCCTTTGCTCCCCAGTGTTTGGCAAAGGGGAAGAGGATGTTTTTTTTAAAAAGGAATCAGTCAGGATTCCTGCTCCAGATAACTTTCATTAATCTCTGCTGCAAACTATTGCATGTGTGGTTGTCAGGTGAGACAACTGTAATATCCCAACAGCTCAACTGTAGCAATGCCAATGGTTAAATGGATTGTAAACACTCACTCTCATGGATTGAGTGACCAAATTATTATTACTGGTCAAGTTATTATCATTAATATTTTATGCTCAAAGGTGAAGAATGAATGTGGTAGTGCAGTGCAACTAGAACTAATGGAACTGTTTGTTCATCTTTTCACACTGGCTGCTAACAATTTTTCGGTGATGTGATTTAAAGAAAAACATTTTTTGGTGCTTTTCTGCAGTTTCTAAAATATGTTGTCATTCAAACAAAACTACTATTACCTACATTTAAACATTCCGAAATGTATTCACAATCGGACTTTCTGTATCAGTGACGGTTGGCAATCTTTTCAAAGTTATTATTTTTATGACAATACAAATAACAGAAATAACATTGCCATGAAATAATTGTAAAAACTGAAAAAATACTCAGTTTCTAGCATTACCTGTATCAAAAAGAAATACAAATGCATTTTGCTACTTTATTATGGCACTCTGCCCCACTCTCTGGACCTCCATCCCACTCACTCCCTCACCTCTTTCAGCTTTCATCTTAAGACCTACATCATTGCCTGCGCTTTCAGTCATTTCCAGGGGTAATAATCCCTTAAAAAATCCAAGACTGTTTGTAGGACACTGCTGTGTGCAATCGGCTGCCATATTTCATCCACAAATTATACAGTCAATTCACTTTACAGTATATTCTGTGAAGCGCTTTAGGACGACTCAAAGATGTGATAAGGTGTTATATCAAATGCAAGGATTATTATCATTATTATCTTTCCTCTCCTCACATCCTTTGGCTCTCACCCTCAGCTCAGGGGCCAAACCAGGATTGTTAAGCGCCTTGAGATGTCCTCCTGACATGAAAGGGGCTGTATAAATCAATTTATATTTGTAAATTTGTATTGTATTTGAATGATTTTGTCATATCATTGGTCGTTTGAGTAATAACAATAATTGTGCATAAAAGGTAAGAATTTGGAACCTTAACCTTGTTGATTAATCAAATGCCCTTTGTTAATGTTAATATGCTGTAGGGAAACAGTAAGTGTTTAACAATTCTGAAAAGTATCAGGGGAATTTCAGGGCAGAAGGTTCAATGGTCTTAGCATGCCATTAGAACTATCTATTCGAATCCCAATTCCCTTGTTCTTTCCCCATCTGCGTTGGTACTAGATCCAGTTAGTGACTATCAGAATGTCAAGAGATGGAAGAGAGAGTAACAAATACAAGTGTTATACTACTAGGCTAAATGGATTGAATTTGCCTTTTCACATTTCATGGTTTCCAAATGGGCCAAAAAGTTCAATTGAGGTTCAGCTCAACACTGAGAAGGAAAGATAAGGAGCAGACAGAGCTTAGGAACTGAGAGGGGAGACAAAGACTAAAGTTGTAAATAAGATACAGAGAGTGATAATTAAATTGCAAGAAAGGAAAAAAGTTTAGATGCCAGGGATAGCGAAGCAACAATATTATTCAAATCTGATTGAATAATTCACTTATGTAAACTATAGGTCAGCCAGAATAGTGTTATGGTGCATAAAAGCCTCATTGTTTGTAAACAAACTATGTGCCCTGATTTAAAAATGAGTTAGCCGTAAAATAACTCCAACTATAGCAATATTAATAGGCTAAATATTCAAGTAACTTATTTTTTTATTCATGACAGCGATACCATAAAACCTACAATTTATATTCCTACTTTATAATCTTTTTAAAAATAGATCATTTATTTACAAACAGTATGGAATTATCTTTTCAGATTTGTTATTCATCCAGAAAAGCAAAAAATTGTCAACATGTACTTAACTTATGACTAATAACAAGCTCATTTAACTCTGCTAGTGTACAATATATTCTGAGTGTTAGAATAAATTCAATACTTAACGGTATAGATGGAAAAGGAACACTTTTCAATGCAAGACTGAATTCATCGAGTCGTTTATTTGCCAATTGGGTGGCTACCTTTTGCCAAATTCAAAACCAAATAAAAATTAAAAGTCGCAATGAAAATTACAGTAAACTTACTTCGTAACACTTGCACATCATACTACATCAATATAACTGAACTATATATGTATATATATGTATATATATATATAGAGAGAGAGAGAACTACTGCTGCAGTTCCACTTGGATCATTCTGGTCACTTTGACCAGAAATGGTCCAAACGGAACTGTTGGGACCTTTTGGCATTGGACAGAGTAGAATGGAGGATAATTAAATGGATAGCTGGAGTTACTTTTATACGTTATTAGTATAGGCTACGCAAGGTCTTAATAGTCACACCAAAGAAAGGCTAATAGAGATCTTATTTGAAAATCCTAAAGCGTACGGTTAAACTGAACTCTAATAATGTTTAATAATAAATAGCAACAGAAGTCGCTGGGAACACTCAGCAGGTCACGCAGCATCTATTACAATAGGAAAGTGAGTTAATGTTTCAGGTCGATGACCTAATGTTTAATAATGTTTCTAATAATGTTTAATATGGTCATAAACTCTATAACAAGGTGACATGGACTAATAAAGCTCATACAGGTAGGCTAAACTGAATTTAGATTTAACCACTTTAACCAAATGGACTGTCCTGAGAGGCAGATAGTGTCTCCAAGTACAAGAGGGAATTGAATAGCTATTTTATGAAGTTGCATGAAGGGCATGTTATGTTAATACAGTATATCAATGTTTCTACTTGGAGCTGTCCAGGACACAATGATCTACATTTCCTGTTGAATATTGTATTTGGCCTGAAGATGGCTCCATTTCATGCCTGTGCTTCAGTGACCAGGCTTTCTGAATACCTGTACTGAGGCTTAGTTGTGTTAGGAGCCAAAATCTGGGCTATAAATAATCTAACAAATGGATTATTTAAACTGCACCAATCAGTCCACTAAATTACTCGTTATCTGTTCAGTGAGAAAGAGTGTAACTAAGACCTGCATCAAGAACTTCAATATCTTGTTTGAATGGTTGATGAAGAGCCGTTTCGGACCAGTTTTCTTGTGTGTCTCTCTCTCTCTGGGGGGTGACCAGCCGGTGTCTGCTCTGGGGGGAGGGATGATCAGGCTGTAGCTAAATAACACTAACTGTGTTTTAATAACATTGCATGTTTGTGATTTAATAACACTGAATATGTGTGCTTTAATTACACTGCATGTTGTTTTAATACCACTGAATGTTTGTAGTTTAATAACATGACCAGTGCATTTTCCTGTGCCAGTAAATACAATACAAAATTGCATTTGTAAAGCGCCTTTCATGTCGGGAAGATGTCCCAACGCACTGAACAGTCAGGGGTTAGGGCCCAAGCGGGAGAGAGTTGGGATCAGGGAGGGTGGAGGGCAGAGAGGGTAGGAGGGTGGCCAAAGGCACGGTCGAAGATGTGGGCTTTGAGGCGTGCCTTGAAGGAGGCATGGCAGGGAGCGAGGCAAAAGGAATGTGGGATGAAGTTCCAAAGGGTGGGGGCAGAGAGGCTGAAGGCCCTACCAACAATAGTGGTGGTGGGCCGGGGAGGGTCATGGAGTTGGCCAGAGCCTGCTGAGTGGAGGGAGCAGACAGGTTGATAAGGGGTTAACAGGTCAGAGAGGTAGGAGGGGCAAGGCCATGGAAGGCCTTGAAAGTGAGGACAAGAATTTTGGAGAGGGATGGGGAGCCAGTGGAGCAAGGTGATGGTGCTGGGGTCATGTTGGATCAATTATTGGAATTGAAAGGATTAGTTGAGGTAGAAATCAGCCATGATGTAATTAACAACAACAACAAGATTACACTTGTATAGCGCTTTTCACTTCGGGAGGACATCCCAAGGCGCTGGCAGAA